CATTTTTAAGACCATTCATGGCCTCAGGAACTGCAGGAGCTCCTGCCAGTTTTTCTGTATTTCAACCAACAGACGGGAAGAAAGGACTAAAAAAGGACAGTCCCTATTTTTCTTAAAGGGACGTCTCAGAGTTCTCATCATAATTCCGCTCACAACTCATTAGCCAAAACTTACCTGTATGACCACATTTACTGCAAGAGAGGCTGGGAAATCTAAGGAAGATTGGAAGGATGGACATTGAGAGACTACCAGCAGACTCTGCCACGTAGACTTCAGGCATATGCAAATATTTTTGTATTCAAATTCAAGTGGTTTATGAAGCCCTTTCCCTGAAGNAGGCATATGCAAATATTTTTGTATTCAAATTCAAGTGGTTTATGAAGCCCTTTCCCTGAAGTCTATCACAAGAGTCTCTATCACACTGATCCAATATCAAGAAGCCCTGCCCACAAGATGAAAATTCCTATAGTCCAATGTGCTTGGTTTATAACATTATAGTCCTGTTAGGCCGCTCCTCGTGACAGAGAACTCCAACGAGGAGAAGCTCTATCTATCATAATCATATGAAATACCTGTAGGTAACTTACGTTTATCTCTGACATTCATTTTATCCTGTATGGTAAGAATTTCAGCCTCACTGAAGAATCCTTGCCATTTATTGCTAGTAGAATACAGGATGTGTTTCACGTATACCTGCCCCCAGGTCCTCTCAGCTATTGCCTGATAATCACCACTTTTTTTTTCCCCTCTCCTATCGAAGCCTTTTGTTGTGATTTCTCCTTCCAGAAATCACAGTTTCAAGCCTCTGGCATGAAAAGCTACTTGAAGGGGCTTTTTTACTGTCTCTGTGGCAAGTGGCTTTTTGTAAGGGTTCAAGGGATTTGGGGGCTAACCTAAGAAAAACATATGCCCACAGTGTGGCAGTAGCACACCCGAATGTTGTTGGGTGATGCTCTGACCAGTTTGCAGGTGGAGGAAATCCAGAGGTTATGGAGTGGGAATGGGGAGGTGGGGGGAAGGTAGGGAAGGGTTGTGGGTGTCATCACCAAGAAGGGGAGGAGGACAAGGGAACTCTCAGGTGAGAGGGGGATTAGAGAGTGGGCTTACATGCCTAAGCTATGTCCCTCAGCAGGACAACTGGGAGTCTCTGAGTCAGAGAACTGTAAATGGCAGCATCAGCTTGGGGTCTTATAACTTCAAGGCCCTATCTTATCCTATCAATAAGTAACAGCTGTCAGGTGAGGTTTCACGGTGTGTGTAAAACAAGCAGGATGTAGATGGCTGATAATTTGCTTGTTTGGGCTATTTTTAAAATAATTAGATGTATAAATATTTGAGTTTGGCACCAGTGGGCTTTTGCTCTAGTGGGGTCTCAACCTGCAGTAATATAACCTACGGGCCAATGCACAGAGGCCATCTTTGGCTCATTTGTGCAGCACTTCTCACCCTAGCATTAGACACTGCCTCTGCTGCTGAGAACCGCCCTTGCCCCTGGGGTCTGGTTAACGAACTAAAAGTCTCCAAGTTTCCAAAGGAAAGAGACTTCTTCAGAGTCCTCAGTCTATTTATGTCCATTGGTGTTCTGAGTTGAAAGGGGGAGGATATTGGTGAGCAAGGGCCTTATGCAATTGCCTGATGTTCACACAGTTCAGGCTGCAACCCAGAGGCAGAAGGGCTGGCAGGCTGAACACAGCCCCCGTCTCTGAATATCCCATAGACAAACGCATGGCTGGGAGGGGCATGATGACGTGCATTATCATTTTGTACTTCAGGAAAGGAGGAACTTTGCCCCCTGCTACTTTCTCTTCTTACCTTGGCTTTGACAGAGCCTATGTGAAAAGGAAAGTCTTAGCAGTAGGCTGCAATCCATTCTGTCTCTCTACTGAGCAATGCCTCAAGAAAGAAAAACGGCCTGATGAGTATAAAACTTGGTATCACGTTCATTGTACCAAACAATGGCATCTGATAAGTCTAAAATGTAAGGATGAATTTCAAGAGAAATTGATTAAATGCCGAATGGTTTACAGATAAGGTGTTTCACCTGCATTTCTGAACCATTTCTGAAATATGTGAAGTGAATCCTAAAGCTGACCATCAAAAACTGAAAAAAAGGACAATGGTTTGATGGAGGTAAGGTTGGTATGTCTGCAGCATGAAGCCTTCATCACAGTGAATTAAAAGACATGGGAAGC